CCCCCCCCCCCCCCCCTTTAGTAGATATGAGTACAATATGCTATACAACCAATACCACAGGTAGTACAAGATCTGTTTGTTTAGTGACTAAGGTTATTGTGAGTGATAACAACTGGAGAGCCAGGAGAAAAACACCTGAACCAAGAGATAGACCTAACAAACTCTACTCATATGTAATGACGAGTCAAGGAATTGAACCTCAGATCGCAGAGGTGAGGGGCCAATGCAATATACCACCTCCTATGTCCCAAAACATACCTATGCGTACAGAAACAAGGGGTTTCAGGTCCAACCAGTTTACAATCAAGTCCGTCAGGATTTGTCCAGCTGACAAATAGCCTGTTTTTCAATCTTTGTGGAAGGATTTTCTTTTTATAGTTTTCATATTCTTCTGGTGTGAATAAGCGACCTCCATCATCTTCACCAACAATTCTACAAAACATTATCAACAGCAAAAGTATATTTGGTTATGCTTGATAAAGAAGTGGGGTACCTACATGGAGATAAATTATATTATACACTATCAATTTTAAGCCCCAGGGTGGTGGGGGAGGGGGGTTGACGACCCCAAGGGAAGTTAAAAATATTTTCCAAATTCCCCACCCTCAGACAACTGATGAAAGTCAATTTCCAACCTTTTATTGTATTCTCTGGCTTTTTCATGCTGGCGGCAACATCGAATTCCCTATTGTTTGGGGCAATGACATCAATTTCCACCCTGGGTTTTATCCTGATAGGTGCATTGTATTGCTCCGAGGCCGTGTCTAGCTTTTAGAGTAACTAAATAATTTATAATTTGCAAGACAAAACATTTCGTAATGAAATTTTCTAAGGCTGTGAGCTACAGTCATTATTAGTAAGTTACAAATAGGTATAAGATATTGCAAGAAATGATTTTAACAAGCTACACTTACTGTATATAAACAAACCACTTGGTAAATAATAAGTTTTACTATAAACATGAACAAAAACGAGCTGTCAATAGCCTGCAAAACGGCTCTCTGGCGGCTGACAACAACAATCAAGACTAGTGTAAAACTGCAGCTCAATCGTGAACATCATATCTTCCCTGCTGGCAGAGACTCCTATTTTCTCTGCCAAGAATCTGCCTGCTAGCAGCCTGGAAAAACATATCCAGCCATTCGATTTTTTTTTTTCGTATTAATATCGAAAATAAGATTGCTGAAAGGCTTTTGCTGGCCATTTTAATCCTCAATAGCATTGGAAATAGACTAAATCAACAGAAAGATGAAGGGATGATTTGTTGTACATCATCTACTTTGAACCTTCAAGTCGTTGTCCTTACGAAATATTTTGTTTTTACAAAGAGATTTTAGTAAAATAGATGCTATTGTAAAACTAACTTTTTATATTCCCAGTAGGCATCGACAGAAGCAGCAGCTGAAGCATCAAGTTTGAGGTGAATGCGATTTTGTTCCATGATTTTTGCAGCAGCATTAATTTTGTCACTTGGTTACTACAAACAACTAGACGTAACGATGAGCATGCGCATTAGACTACATGTCGCGCGTCACGCAATCAGGACGGAATGGTTTTTCTCTTTAAATTTTCTCATCGTATTTCCAGATTTCCTTTCTTTCACTGAAGGGTGCCTTTTGAGTGGCAGATCTAAGACTTTGAAAAGGGAAGCATGGATCTCAATTTAGATTCTTCACTCTTGGAGCTTGTAAATAATCCGTATCGCGATCGTCCGATTAAAAAGGCGGGGGGAGGGGTTTCTCCGTGGTAAAAGTACCGGGAATGCTCGCGTATCTCTTAGGGGTAATAATTAGCGATTTGATATCTTTAAGGGCGTTAAAATTGAAATTTAGGATTTCGGCATTTCGGCATGTTATCTTTTAGGGCACCTCTTAGGGGTAAAAAAAAAAACGTCCAAAACACGCCCTTTTTAAAGGAATTCCGTWAACTTTTAGGGGTATTTTTGAAAATTTCGGACGAGCATACCCGGAGTCATACCAATACCTAAAATAGACAACCCAAGCACGTGTGATGACTACAGACCATGAAATAGCAATCCGACCTGTGTTTTCCAAAGTAGTCTATACAGCTATTTTAAATAACGTTGAAGGAGCGAACGGCAAATGAAGCGATTGGTGATAGGTGATTGCACGACCGAAAGGTACAGAGGGCATGATATTTAATCAAAAAGTAAAAAAAGTATTTATTAAAGTAAAAATCTTAAAAATCATGTTTCCATAGCAGATAGAATTTGAAATAGATCATATTTACTTGATAATGCACGTTCCGTTTAGTTTTACCAAGAGAATATTCTCTTGGTTTTACTAAACGCATCCCACATGGAAAGGAGTGAGTATGCGTTTAAAGCCATCAGTGTCACAATCAAGATTCTTGAGTATGCTGGTCATAGCAAGGGGTTAATCATCTACGGTCTAGGGGCCGACTAACCTCTCCCTTAGGCTTCGGCCGAGCTTCCTGATCAGTCTGTAAATCTCCGGATAGCGGTGTCGGGGTCGAAATCTCCGGCGTAGCCGTAAATGCTTCGCGCTGCCATACGACGGTTCAGCACTCGATGTCTGGAAGTATGGTCCTAGTTTAATAAATCAAAAACTTCAAAATCCTAAAATCGTGTGTTTATAGCAGATGACCTTTGAAAGAGATCAATTCAGGGCTGCCGACATGGGTCTTGCAGAGTCTTTACTAACAGCCGTATTCAGCAGATCGAAGTAGTATAACAATCCAGGATTTGTAGAACCAAAATAAGTTAAGAAAATGTAAAAAGGTGAAGGATCAATCCAAAAACCAACCCAAAATTTACAGAACAGCAAAAATAAAATCCAATGGGAGCTCAATTCGTCATTCATTATCATTCATAATTTAAATTATTTTGTCCAATTTTGGGGAGTTCTGAAAAATTACTTTTTACTTTCTTAGAATTTTGGCATGTTTTTATTATTGTATATAGGTTTTTCATTTTATAGTTGCTGTTATGCCACTAGGCTTTACTGACTCAATAAAGATGATAAAAATCGCATTTAAGATACTTTTGATTACATTTAAAATTTTATTGAATAACAGTGCTCCTTCGTATCTCTCCGACCTCATTAAAGTGTATGCACCTTCTCGATCCTTGAGATCTTCCTCATCCAAAATCTTTTTAAAAAATCTTCTTTAATCTGAAATCCTATGGTAGGAGGGCTTTCTCCTATGCAGCACCTGAACTGTGGAACAGCCTCCCAGTTAATATAAAATCCAGTCCTCCTATTGATCTTTTTAGAAGTAATCTTAAGACCTGGCTCTTTAAGCGAGCATTTGATTTACTGTAGATTCAAGTATGTATTTCAAATTAAAACTGCTTTGTCATTTTATACTTTTATTTAAATAGTTTTATCATAATTTTGTAAAGCCTTGTTGCAATCCCCAGATGAAACAGCGCTATATAAATTTCCTTTATTATTATTATTATTATTATTGTTGTTGTTGTTGTTGTTGTTATTATTATT